TATTCTTTTTAAGCATTACAGGTTTGGTTCTTGTTTCAGTGTTCATTTTCTGCTATTAATTTTGTATCTCGGTAGTGCAAGTCAAGTCTCAATTCTGCCGTGGGATATCTCAATATGACCGATGCTCGTCAAATAGTGGGTGCGCCTGTTTTCATATAGCAGATGCTATCGACGACGTTAGTATTTGTGTCGATGAATTCGTAGATTGTTCTGAGCTCGCTCCATGCGAATATCCAAACAATCTGTGTCACTCACCTAATCATAAATGTGTTGATCATCCTCGATGTCATAATCTTCCTGTTTGTTATCCGGTGCCCAGTTTCAATCAGCAACTCTGTCCACTGATAAGAAGTAAGATAAAAAAAAGACAGTAACCTACAAATATTAGGTGAAGCTCAAATCTTTCTTAAAATCATTCCTTCAACATTTGCACACTCTCCTATATGCAATTCATATAGATATACGGGATGGTGGGAAAAAAGCTTTAAAAAAAGAGTGGATAAAGCATGGTAGAGAGAAAACGAACTGCGATCATTGGATAAGAATTGTCATCTCTTCTCTTAGTTATATGTAGCAGTATATGAATATACTATAACCTTTTTAATGTACACCAAAGATCAAGACAAATTGAATAATTGATCATTTGAATCGATTTTTTAGACCATGCCACATACTTGCGAAATTAAAGATTAATCATTCATCTGCTACATAGTAATTGGTAGAAATCAGAAATATTTTCGTAAATGAATAAGATAAATATGTAACCGATGATTAGTAATTCAGCTTGGTAAGACACTGATAAGCATAGAGTGCGTATTGACAGGCGAATCTTGTTATAGTTACTTATTTATGTTGTCTTTCAATTGCCTTTCTAAATTCATTTCATTCATCTTAGTTATGTAATGACGAAATATTCTAATGATCTCAGACGACCACACCGATTGATGCATAGTTTATATGACAGGTTAAAATCATAAACTTCATAGTTGAATAACGGCTATATTTTGTTACAAAGGAAGTCAATAAATTTAAATCTATTGTTCATATTTAAAATACAACAGGTATAATAAATTCGAGCAGAACAATTTTAATGGATTTAATTTAATTTAATTTAATTCTGCTTTATTTTATTTTATTTATGAATCATTTTGAACCGAACTGTCAAAAATTTTACTTTGCTTTTGGTTTCTGATCAACACACAAGTTTTCCATCAAAAATCTATTTTGGAAAAGAAAAATCCATTTTCAGAGCATCTAAGATTATCATTGTACTTTGGAAAGAAAAATCAATTAATATTAATCCCATGTTGACTATTTTTCGTCACTATTAAAGTTCGCGCTTTACTTTGCTGTTATTTGCAAAACCAATTTCATTTTTCTCCTCCGTTTGATATTATTACAGATACTATCTTTTATGTAAAGATAATTTATTTCAATTTAATAGAACGTTTCATCTCAGACACTTCTGAATTCTGTCGATCTAAAAGTCAGGCACCCTTTTCTGCTGAAAAATTGTTTTAAAATATTTCACTCATACTTTTGAATGTTACACTAGATATATGCAAATTATGAAAAGCATACTTTTATGAACTACTCTTGTTCGATTTCAGATGGTCACTAATGCGATAATGACATCATTTTAAAAAAATATTTTACATCTGTCGAAGTTTATTTTAATAATTCAATTATTTATGCAAAGAGTGATACTCTTTTCTTGTAAGCATTTATTACCTTATGACTCTCCTAGGTCCTATAGGGACACCATTAATAATCGTGTGAAGAATGAAAGAAGAGATAATTAAAAAGGAAAAAAAGACAAATAATAATAATAATAATAATAATAAATAATCATATCAATAGTAAGAAGGTCATAGAAACGATACAATAACATCATGATAGAACAGAGAAAAAAGAGTAGTCTCAAGCCATCATACATCAACGTCTACCATTGTACATATTACTCTACTGAAAGTCAGACTATGAACCAGAAGATAGAAAAGACGAAATACATAACATTAATATTAAAAAGTTTCAGGAAAAAGAGTAAAAAGATCTATATCATTACAGTCAATCACCGAGATAGATGAAATCATACTGTGTCTGGAGCACCAATCCAAACACCTTGCCCATACACTATTGTGATCAATAAATCTTTTATTATGTCGTATTGACATTATTTTACCATGACCGCTCAACCAGTGTTGCCGGTAAGCGCATAGTTTCACTTGTTTACGTAACAATTGTCCATCTTCTGACTTACCTAATGCTGAAAGATATTTTTCCCAATATTTAAAACATCTGACATCAAGTGAACATTCATTGTATAAGATACTAAAAATAAAATCTTCCCAATAAAGACAACGGTATACTCTTTTCAAACATGTAAAATATATGTGTGAGAGATCTGTTTGTTGCCTAAAAGTAAATAATGGAAATATTACAAATAATCAGGCAAATAAAGGATATACAAAAGTAGAAAATAAGACTCGACGAACAGTATTACAACTATTCACCAAAGTCGTTCTTTGATGTATTTTTATCAGAGTATGATTTATAAGTGGTGACCACCCAAGCTTGGTAGTAATCCAATATCCAAGATATTTGAATTGGTTTGTCCAACTAATAATATGCTCACCACATTTAAGAACAGGCATTGGATTAGAAAAGCCAACCGTACGAGCTGTCCACATAGCATGTGTCTTTTTATAATTGATTGGCTGTACAGACAAAATCGAGTAATATTCCTAATTATCGAAAAACGCAGCCAGTCTTTTTTCTAAATCTATACATTGATCGGTATATTTTATACCCATTTGTCCCGCAATTGTTGCAGCAACATCATCGGCAAATAAAAATGACATTGCCATTGGAAAAGCATCACTGATATCAGAGTGATATGTAATAAATACACTTGGAGTAAGACTGAAGCCTTGTGGTCCGCCCCTTTTAATAGAAAACCATCTGGAACAAGTTCCTTGAATGTCTATATAGCCACGTCTATTTGTTAACCATTCTTTAATCCAGACAACGTAGGTGGCTGGAATACCTAACCGTGAACGCTTGCCTACACAACCGTCGAACCAGAGCTGGTCAAAAGCGCTTCGAAAGTCAACAAATACCGCACAAACCGGGGAGCTATTTGCCATTAATGAAGATATATGTTCGATCAGTAGCAAGACACGACTTTGAAGACGATGGTTTGCTCTAAAGCCGGATTGATTGTCCGGTAGCAGGCCACGAGCAGCAAGTATCTTAAGAAAGCGACTTAGAAATAACTTTTCAATACCTTTAAGATGACAACCCAATAGAGAAGTGAGACGAGTAGCATCTGGTGTGCAGATAGGTTCTTTTTTCGCAAGAATGACCATTCTAACATCTTTCCATTTGTCAGGCATGAAAGCCGTCTGGAAGGACATATTGAATAAGGTGATCATTAGATGCCAATAATTTTTGGGCACATGATCGAGTAACACCGATGATAAACCATGAGCATCACACGATGACTTTTTCTTTTTTGCTTTTAATATCTTAAGTAATTCAGGATAAGATACCAACGGGATGCTATCATTATCGTTGTCCCAGCAGATAGATGGTCTGTGAATCAACATACGGATGTGGACGGTAGACTTCAGGTTCAGTAAATAATTGTTCATAGTAATTAGCGGCACAATCCGCCATGCCCTTTATATCTTTGATGATTTCGCCGGATGTAGAAATAAAAGCTCGTAGAGTGGCGGATTTATCACGAAAATGTCGTTTGGATTTATTCCAAGACGGAGATGATCCTGTGCCACCTTCGTATCTTTCTTTCAACATTTTACTTAATTGCTCTGTTCGTAATGTTCGGTTCTCGTCAGATTGATAAAAACTTTGATAAGTCGAAAAAGCTGTAGAGACCAAAGAATAATCAATACGACCCACTTTTCTCAATACTAGTATATCTGAAATGTATTGTGTACTCAATAAAACTACTTCTCCTCATCTGTAGTCCAGCCCACGCACATTAAAACATAACACGTGCAGGTTCGATAAAGAAGATCTGATGTCCCCTTGAACCGATTTCTTCCATAAAGAAAAACAATTGTTCAGTGTTTGAGCATCATACCATTCATATACCAATGACGAGAATAATTTCAAGTCGGAGTGATCGACGGTTGATGCTATTAGGTTCCACGTATTATAAAACATGCTTAAATCTGATGATAAAGAACAAGATACAAATGGGATTGCATTAGGCAATAGATTCATGTTGTAACTATATCAGAGACTTCCAGGTTTTCAACCAATTTCTTAATAAAGTATGTTTCTCATCGATTTCTTTTCGTATAATCTAAGTTTCTTCCACTATCTTGCGGTATAATGTGGTTTATAATAAGATCACATAACTCAAGCACAACTGTTTGTATATCAGACTTGAAGGCTAACATATCATTAACTATTGTGTACCATTTGCGTTCGAAGTCCTCTATCTTCGATTGGGGTGTTGTAGACCAACCCGCCCGTAGAGGAGAAAAGTTGTTAGAATTAAAACGATATGTGTTTGCAGAAATTGACCTTGATTGCTGATACATTAATAAAGATCTAGTGAGTACTGCCCTATACTCGTTTATAGTTGGACATTTCGGATCATGCGATTTATGTGGTCCATTGCAATGTACACTTTTCATTATACCCGAGCAATTGGCTTTATGTAATTGAATATCTGTCGTTTTCTCACTACACACCTTACATGTTTGACCGTCTTTTTGTGGACAATTCTTATGAAAATGTCTAATACACATACATTGTGAGCTAATCAAAACATGAGCTTAGGCCAAGTATTCCACAATATCCAACGACAGTCCCATAATTAAAATACGTTTTTTATCCAAAATTTCTTTACGTGGCATGGCGGAGTTAAGCTCCAATTTAACTGCTTTAATCTTCTGTTGTGCGCTATTGCGTAAACGAATTACTGATACTATATTCTTATAGGCAGCACAGATTTCATCCGAAAATTCTTAGAAGTTAATATTCAATAGTAAATCAGGCATAATTGCTGAAAGTTGAGGTGGAATCGAAGGACATATCAATTTATATTTAAGTCCACATAATTCTTGTGGCCAAATTTTTTCATCTAACAGGAACGCAAATGTCTCTATATTTTTAACAGATAGTAAAATTTTATATTCTTCATGTGTACTGGTAGTTGATGTTCGACGATATCCAGGAACATCAATATTAAACTGATGTTTATCCTTCGCAAATTTACATAAGTCTTCAACAATTAACTTATCACGAATATCCTGATCAGCTACAATAACAAATGTAGAAAAATGATATCTAATCTGGGCAAACCGTTTTTGCTTCTTCTGATATATGAAGCTCTTGTTGTTCATTCATATGATTATTCATACTAAGATTGTTTTGAAGATGGACGTTAGCATAAGCCATGCTTTGCTGTTATTTATCCTTACTTTGCTTAGGTTGGTTCGACATAGATATTCCCTTGTCTTGAATTTTTGTAGTAGGTGAAACACCTACAGCTCGTCTCTTCTTTTGTGTAAATGTAATATTACAAGTGTTAGGATCATTATCCATTTCAATGGATTCACATTGTTCTTCTGACATTGGAGACAATACCCGTTTCAAAGAATTATGTTCATTTACTGACATCGTTGTAACTGAATTTAATTGGTTATTTACCGTGTCTTGTGTTGCCAATAACGAATTGGTGGACTGTTGACGGTAAACTATAGATTGTAAATGTGTAAATTGAGTCGTAAGTCGAGCAATTTGTTCTATTAGGGTTCTATTATCATCACTGATTTTCTGTATGATTTTCCAGGGGTCATGATGATTTACCATTCCATTATACGAGAAATGCAACTCTGTCGATCTTCTTATTGTCTGTAATAATTTTCCAATGTGCTTCAGTACTTGTCTCTTTCATCTATGTCAGATAGTAATTGGTTCTTTCTTTTTATATTATTTTCATTTCTCTTTATGATTTTTTGCTTATTTTTTGAATACAAGAGAATGTTCAACAAGAAACATGTAAATTATCATTCAAAATTTCAACTTTAAACTCTAAGACATTAAAGAAACTAAAATGATTCGTAATCTGTGTACAACTAATATTTTTCTTATCCTAACAAAAAAGTTGATAAACATGTATTAAAACATTTTCCAGTGATGTACATTTATAATAATGATATCATTTTGGTATAGTTAGTTGTCTAGGACGAGAGAGAGGTCAAATGTTAGAAATATATACTTTCTCTTTGTCTAACTTTGTATCACAGAATATAAAAAAAGAATTGGCAAAGACTCAAAATCTATGAGAACAAAAAATGTATTTTCTGCTTTTCCATAAAATCCAGCAGTTAGATGAGCTTTTTAAAGACAGAATATCATTCTTATCGATTATCTTTTCCTATTAATACACATTAGACTTTTAAAGTAAGTGTTTCTCTAGAGCACGTTCTATAGCTATCTGTCACTGAGAAAATAACTAATTTAGATCGATTGCTGATTATGTCAATCTTATTATTATCTCCTAACTAAGTGATCCCACATTTTCATATTCATCTATAAGAACGCATGTTAAATAAAGTCTTTTGTTACTTCAGTCAAGATAGCTGTTTCTTTTTTCGTCGATAGTAAAAGTTTTATTTCATTAAAAAGTTATCTATCACTGAATGGCAACAAAATAGAAGCATTATAAAGTGTGGATCTTAGTGAGTATCACTGTAAGTGGAACTTTTCATTGTTTTCCAGCACTGCCTGAAGATGGTGTGGAGCAAATCTTCTTAAAAAGCTGGATTACAACTTTCTCTGAATAAGATTCAATTTTCTATCTCACGAAGTCAGCTCTTAATTAATGCTTATAGAAGGTTACTTTAATTTTTGTTTTCTTACGAAAGGCTTCGAGAAAATTAGCATTATTCTTCTTAGTCTTTCAGAAGCGCAAAGAGTCAGATTCTACAATTTCTGTATATAACACTGTGCCGATTTCTCTACTCTTCATCAAAAACTCATAACATTTCATTGGACCCCTCTCATACTAATGTTTAGGAAACTTTTTGACAGTTTTGGACTCATAATGTAGAAAACCATATGATCAGAATATGCTACTTTTCTTTTTCAACGGCTCGAAACTTATATTCTTACAAAAATGATAGAAAAATCATAGATTTACTACGTTTTATCACTTTTCGTGGTCATTGAAAGGATTTTCCATGAGAAATTACTAATGAATCTCTGAAATATCTATGTTTTCTCATCCATAGATAGCATATTGGTTCACATTGTTTTAAAAATACTATTTTCCTTGAAACTAATTTCCAGAAATCTCATTAATTTTTGGCAAGAGTTCGAAAGTGCCTTTACCAAAATGGATTCTCATAAGCATCATTATGAGATTTCCTTCTAAGAAACAGAATCTCTCATTTATAGACAATAGTGCTTTACTTTTCTTTTTTCCATTTATTGTAGTTATCCCCAATATTCCGGTCAATGGCACTTGGAAACAGAATGGAGTGACACTTGCTGGAAGTCCCGGACTGGGCAGTAGTGCCACCAATCGACTCAACGCCCCTCAAAGTCTCTTCGTTGATGATGATCAAACAATGGTCATCGCTGACTGGGGCAATCATCGTATCATTCAATGGAAGAAAGGTGTTACGAATGGACAAGTTGTAGCTGGTGGGAATGGCCAAGGAAATCGATTGGATCAATTGAATAGGCCAAACGACGTGTTGATTGACAAAGAGACTGATAGTCTCATTATTTGTGATCCAGAGAATGAACGAGTCGTACGATGGGCTCGTCGTAGTGGCACAACTGAAGGAGAAATCCTCATCGACAACATCGATTGTTGGGGATTAGCCATGGATGATCAGAGATATCTCTACATTTGTGACGCCGATCGAGTAACACAATATCAAATAGGGGATAATAATGGAACTGTTGTGGCTGGCGGCAATGACAGAGGTACTGGTCTCAATCAACTCAATGCGCCAACCCACATCTTTGTCGATCGACAACAGACTGTTTACGTGTCAGACTACTGGAATCATCGTGTAATGAAATGGAATAAAGGTGCAAAAGAAGGAATTGTCATCGCTGGGGGTCAAGGCTGTGGGAATGCTCCGACACAACTGTGTCATCCTAATGGACTGTTTATCGATACTCTGGGTACTCTCTATGTGGTAGATTCTGCTAACAATCGAGTGATGCGTTGGCCTAAAGGCGCGCAACAGGGCATTGTTATTGTGGGCGGAAATGATCAAGGATCAGGAGCAAACCAGTTCTTTAATCCTAATGGTTTATCCTTCGATCGGTATGGCAATCTCTATGTTGTCGACAGAACAAATAATCGTGTTCAACATTTTTCTATCGAATGAATGCATTACGATTGATTTTTTTCTCTTTCGAATAAACTGGCGTTGCATTGAAGACATTATTTATTCATGTGTGCGGGAAGACTCACGTTATCCACACAACACCTCTCTGATGTCTTGTACCAGTGAGTCTGAAAGCTTGGATGTGCGCTACAGGCACTAAAGCAGTTCCAGGTAGGATTTTCAAAGTCTTCCCTAAAAAATATGCTAATACGAACCTACCTATCCTAACATATTTCCTCCTCTGAACTCATCCGCAAAAAAAAACAAAAAAAAATTGACTCACTAATTCATTGACGTCGAACGACGTTGAAGACTGAAAGAAAAAGAAAAATACTTATAAAAGAGATCAATTGAGGTCTTATTATCTTCAAAATAATTTTGGGTGTGGGTGTGGGGTGTGACCATAAATCTCCATCACTATGGAATGATATCAATACCCACACCCACACCCTCCATTCAAGCTTAGACTGAATATTATTTTCTTTGAGAACATGCATGAATTTCATAAACCCTTCCCTTTTGTAAAATGATGAAGTTAATCCTAGTAGTTGGTTTGAAACTTTCAAAAAACCTTACTCTCTGCTTCTGAGCAATAATACATCCCCTATAACAAACATGATGGGAAGTAGAGATAAGGATTACTGAGCGTTTGATTCTATATGATTTCGACTGTCCTTGGTGATTCCAATTGATTCTGACTGACTCTGTAGATTCCGAGTGATTCTGAGGGCTCAGAATCAACTTTTCCACTACATTACAGTACTCATAAATTGTACATGTCATCAAATACCCATAGCATTAAGCAAAACATATTCTTGTGCTTTTTTTCTATTATCATTATCAGCTAGTTGATAACAAATAATTACTGCGACGATCATATTTCTCATGTTTCTTTTTGTTTCGTATGTTAGTATTAGTTACAATATTTTTGTTTTTTTTCTCGATCATTCATCTATATTCGTCCAATAGAGAATGTTTGACTCGAGAGTGACTTTTATTTTGATCATAATTATCATAGCGCATTCAGTTTATGGTTCATACCAATCTGTTGGTTACTATAAAAAAAGTATTTTATAATAATTATTTTACAAGTTCGTTTATGGAACCTGCATTATGTTTTGCTTTATGTGACACACCAATTGTATATAAACCAGGCAATCGTCGAATTGAAACAGTTAATACATGCGAAGGTACAGAACACATATTCAGGTTACGCTGAAGAGAATTTTCATATTCAACATGCTCATTTATTTAACTTTCGAATTCAATTTACATCATGTGAATTATGGAATACGTCTGGTAGTTATGATGGGTTGCAAGTTAAAATTGATAAATTATCTGTTAAGGGTGTGGGTGGGTGTGGGGTGTGGGTGTGGGTGAGGGTGTGGGTGTGGGTGGGTGTGGGTGTGGGTGAGGGTGTGGGGTGGGTGTGGTGTGGGTGTGGTGTGGGTGTGGTGTGGGTGTAGGTGGGTGGGTGTGGGTGTGCGTGTGGGGTGGGGGGGGGAGCGGGTGGTTGTGGGTGGAGGCGCGGACCAACGTGCACCCACACCCACACCCACACCCACATTTATTTAACTTTCGAATTCAATTTACATCATGTGAATTATGGAATACGTCTGGTAGTTATGATGGGTTGCAAGTTAAAATTGATAAATTATCTGTTAAGGGTGTGGGTGGGTGTGGGGTGTGGGTGTGGGTGAGGGTGTGGGTGTGGGTGGGTGGGGGTGTGGGTGAGGGTGTGGGGTGGGCGTGGTGTGGGTGTGGTGTGGGTGCGGAGAGGGAGACCGGGGGCGCACACCCACACCCTCGAAGTGAAATGACGACTAATTGCTAAATATAAGTAAAAACTAATCTTCATTCTTAAGAATCAAAATCTCTACTAAAATATTAAATAACTCAATTAAGGGGGGCCCCCCCCCTTAAAAACCAAATTTTAGGGCCCCCCCCCCCCCTCAGAAACGAATTCTGTTATTTTTCATCCGATTTCAACCAAAATTTCAGAGAATGTTAGTCTAGGATAGGGGAGATTATGGTTAAAATATCTCTCCAAATCTCCAATAAACTAATGAGTTATAGTCAATTTATTGGTCAAAAGTACCTTGTACGCGGGCAAGGATTTCACAATAAGGACACGAGCTAACAAGCCCGGGTGGTTTTCAAGTTATAGAGTGCCCTTAGGGCTAGATCCTCACAAGGCCCGATTTTTGAATTTCACTTTTTGTGAAATAAAAAAATTAGATATTTATTTTTTAGTAGCAATTTTTTGGGCATGAATTCGTGAATTTTACGAAAAAGGGTTTTTCAAAAACAAACAAAGGGAAACTCAAAAATCGGGCCTTGTGAGGATCTAGCCCTAAGGGCACTCTATAACTTGAAAACCACTCGGGCTTGTTAGCTCGTGTCCTTATTGTGAAATCCTTGCCCGCGTACAAGGTACTTTTGACCAATAAATTGACTATAACTCATTAGTTTATTGGAGATTTGGAGAGATATTTTAACCATAATCTCCCCTATCCTAGACTAACATTCTCTGAAATTTTGGTTGAAATCGGATGAAAAATAACAGAATTCGTTTCTGAGGGGGGGGCCCCCCTTAACAGACTTCTGGAAATGCTAGACTAAATTGATTTAAATACGTATATGAGCCCTGGCCTAACTGTTACAACGATATTAACAATTTAACTTTTTTTCCTTTAATTTTTATGATCTGTAGAATGAGTAAACTGCATCGACTTATGAAATGCAAATTTTTAATACATGTTCCATATCATTCCATAACTTCTACTGACTTTTCAAAAGTCAAACGATTTTATTGCAACAATAAATTTTTGTTCATTAATTTAGTGATACGTATAACAAAATGGCTAAAACAAGGCAAGAAAAAGTAAAGAGCTACAACATAACTATTATAGACAGTTATTCAAATTACACATACTCTCATCTTGAAAACAGTGCTATGTCAATCAATATGTATCTAGAATGTATATTATCTGGAAAAATGAAGCCCAAGATACTTGTGATAAGTAACGATAGTTCTTTCAATAAATAATTCTTATCAATTCATATGTTCTCATTAGCTACGTCGACAGTGCAGACATACGTAAATGACCTTCGTCAATGTATCCTAACGAAAAAAGGACAATATAAAAGCTATGTAATATCTTTGCACAAAATCTATAATCTATTAATATAGAATATTAAAACAAAACTCTTTGTTGGTCTCATAAAACATAATCCTCTTAACAGGATCAAAATAGCAATCAATAGTTATAAATGTCCACTATATCAGATATTTTAACGACAATGACAGAGAGAGAGATAATCTCATTCTGTAAGCACTTCAGAGTGTAACAATAAAATGCAGAAACAAAAAAAAAACAAATAATCTCATTCTTTTTTTCATTCATTCAATTATTTGTTCATTGTTGATAAAAGTATATCATTATTCTCATTGACGACATCGGTCAAATAGATGAAATCAGTACAATATATATTAACATCTAAAAGACAAAAAATTATATTGTAGCGTAGATAAAAATGGAATATTTATTGATTAAATTAAATGATTTACCAGATGAGATTCTAATACTCATCTTGAAAAAATTGTGTAATGTTGAAGTACTCTATGCTTTAATAGATGTTAATAAACGACTCAATGCAATTGCACATGATTCAACTTTTGCAAATCATTTAACATTATTATGTAAACAAGATGACTTAATCTCTCCATTACCTGATCCAATGCTTGATCGATTTTGTTCGCAAATTTTACCTTCGATTCATTATAAAGTCAAATCGCTTAAACTTGAATCGACATCTATGGAACGTATTCTTCTTACTACAAATTATCCTAATTTATATGAACTTGGTTTATATGGTATTGATGTAGAAAAAGCAATGTCTCTCTTTATTGGTAGGTTATTTTACTTCGATTATTTTAATTTTAAATCAAATGAAAACTAAATAAAAATTCAGCATTATTTGTTTTATTATATTTATAATATAGTTGAGTAGATCATTCAGTAAATCTAAGTATGAATTTGTATGTTCCATTATTAGTTTTAAATAAATTAAACCAATCAATAATATGATTTGCTTAATATTAACAATATTTATTTTATTTCTCAAGACATTTTAATTTTTATTTAGATGACACTACTTTTATTCATGTAAACAAAGGTCAAATATCATCACTTGTTATCGATATAAATAAAAATAAAAAACAAATCTTAGTATTAAATGTTAGTGGAATTGTATTTGCACATATTTTTACTATGTTCATCAATTTACAATATTTAAATTTCGGTCCGTCTTCAATTTCCTATCAACAACTAACATTTGACATGTCACCATCAACTGTTTTGTCTTCAAATCTATTAGAATTACATGTTCATGTGCTTAATTTCGCTGATTGTCTTTATTTACTTGATGGACGTTTTAATCAACTTCATACATTTCATGTTAATATTAGTTACATTTCTTCTAACACTTTAACAATCAATAATACGGTAAATTATTTCTGATTAATGTAAAATTTATCGAAATAAATTGATTTTTCTAGGAAAAATTACCTAATCTAAGATGTTTTTCGTTATATTGTGATATTCGTACATATGATTATGATGAATTAATTGTACCATTACTACATCGAATGTTGAACTTAGAAAAACTTGATTTACATCTTAATAATGTTGTTCATGATAAAGGATTTATTGATGGAAATAATTTAAAAAAAAATATAATTAATTATATGCCACAATTAAATAAATTTATGTTTAATATTCGTTCATTTAAACCTTCTCCTAATCTAATTAATTTACCTTCAAATGAAGATATTCAACATACATTCAAAGAATTTAAAAATAATCAAATTATTTCTTGTGTTGATTATTTCCAAAAAAGACAATGTGGTTGCTGTCATGTTTATTCTTATCCATATCGAATGAAATATTATGATAATATCACAAATAATTTTCCAGGTGGATTATTGAAATATGTTCAAACAGTTCAATTATATGATGACTATCCATTTGAGTATGAATTTTTCCGTCGAATTGCTCAATCTTTTCCATGTATGAAAAGCTTAAGTGTAATTAATGACAAACCACAAAAGAATAAATTATATAGAAGATCAAAGAAAGTCGACAATCAAGATTTATCAATTATTGAATATCCTCATCTTATTCGTCTTCGTCTTTATCAAGCTCATGATGATTATGTCGAACAATTTCTAATTGATAGGGAAATATATTTGTCAAATAATGTTTATCTTTCTGTCGATTATGAAGCACTGAAGAGGGTTACCGAAAATTTCACAAGAAATGCAACGCGAATCAATTGTGCTAAACTGCGTTCTTTATATCTACATGGCGAATATAAAATTACTAAATTTCTAAAAGACTATTTTCCTCAGATAAATATAGCTTTATTGTAAATGATTATTAAAATAAAATATGAAAAAAAAAATAGGTTGATATATATATAGATTAAAAGTAGTGGCATAACCAGAAAAGGGCTACGTTGAGCTGAGCCCAGCTATTGGGACTTTAAACTCAACGATTGATCATTTAAAAAAAGCAATTGTTTTCTAGAACGATAAAATCAATAAGGTGCAAAATATTCGCATTCCTTTCTCTTTCTTCATCAGTCCATACTAAGTTGATTCTCAACTAAATATATAATCAATAATAACTTGTTTTACGGAATAGAGAAGCGTCTGCTGTGATGATCATGACTGGTGAATTGTCATTTCACCAGTGATTTATTTCCTTATGCACTTTACAAGCGAGATACGCAAACAATTTCATGATTCTAGTAGAAAAGATTGAAGTTATTGCTCAAATGCTACTGTTTGATAAACAATCCAAATGTAGTCAACTCTTCTCCGTATATAATAGAAGAACCTCCCATATTAGAAGACTCCACGACGGTACGGTGTGAAATCCATCATAGAAGAATCGGGTCATGTATTCAGAAACAGTTTTTGTTTTTGATTTTTAAATCTCTCTTAGCTTGACCTCAGTGTGCATTAAGTCTAGATCTTCTGTGATTTTGAATTTGCTGATGTATTTCAGCTTTTTATTTATTCAAAAAAAAAAAAAAAAGTATAGGAAACCGATATGGTCCTATCGAAGTATCGAAAAACGTGTAGATGAAAAATTCTTAAAATATGATTAGGAAGACATTCGGAATGTAGATTTACTAGAACTTTATTATTGTCAAGTGTTATATTGAAACATTTGTGCAATTGATCCGAAAAAAAAGTAATATAAATACATATTGATATTTTTCTTTTAATTCAAAGCATCCAACAACACGTCATCAATAAACACATGGTCATCGACCAAAGGACCATTAGTACCAGCATGGCAAGCACCTGCCTATATCCCATTAGATACAACATTGAGTAGAAGCGCTCCGAAACCTATTGGACAACTACGCCATTTAATTAATCCTGCAGCACAAGAAACAAATGTGCATCGACTCTTTTTGCTTAGTTTTCAAGTTTCATTTATTTATCAAAAATGACACTACAAAAATAGTCATCATTTAGAAAACTTTATCAATAGGAAAACGTATAGCATATTGAAATTGACTTTTTTGAGTAGCTATCGATCTCTTGAAGACAGAAAATATCAATTTAATAGAAAAATAATTTAAAAAAAAGGAACAAACCGTTCAAATCGTCAGCTATTAGATACTAGAAGTTTTAGAACTTTACTTTTATCTTCAATGTACTTTTATCCTTGAATAATTCTTTTTTTTCTTTATTAAAAGCTTTCATACATCGATTATATAAAAAAAAGCTTTTCATATCAGATTTTAATATTGTTTTCAACAGTATTAATAGGAAAAAAGAAAATACAAATAGCAAGATTAAGTATGTAAAAAAACAAAAATTTCTAAAATAAAAGAAAAAAAAACGTAGTTGCTAGTTTAAAGTAATCAAAACTGCTGGAATAAAAAAAAGACAAAATAAACGTGGAGCAAGAATGTTTATATATATATGTATATACATATATATTTATGAATGTGTACTAAGAGGTGTAGCTTTAAGTGAATATTTAGGTGGCATATTAGTTAAATCAAATGTACCTTTAGTTAGTTCAGGTAATGAACCAGCTTTGTCAAAATCATTATAATATAAAAGTACGGCAAATATGTCCGTTAATAAGTTAAAAAAATATTTTTCTGCAATATATGTTCGTGGACCAATATCAAATGGTAAATAACTATGAATTGGAATTATTGATGCATCTTGTTCAAGCCAACGTGTAAGATCAAATTTAGTTGATTCTTTCCATGCAATTGAATGATGTAATGCAAATACATTAGCTCCAAATAATGTACGTTTTTGTATATGAAAATTACGCCATTTAAAATCTTGTAATGTTGAATGAATAATAACAGGTACAACAGGTGATAAACGTAAAACTTTTTTAACAAATGCTTGTGTATGACGAAGAGCTTCAGTTAATGAAAGATTAAATGTAATATAACCATTATCTCTATTGAATTGATAAAAAAAAAAAAGTAAAAAGAAATTTTGATTTTTTTACAACATTTATATATTACCGTGCTTCACATCGACATGTATCAGCTTCTTCAGGATATTTAACTGTATAAAGAAGAAATCATGATAAAGCACCTTTAAGCATTTCACTTCCATGCATTATTACATCAAGTACACAAGCAGCTATATCATCTTCATCTAAACGTGGTGATGAGTTATCGATAATATCTAAAATTGCTTGAAGAAAATCATGTTTTTGTTGTTGATGTTACTGTTTGTTCATTATTTGTATCTTCAATACGATTTATATCTAATGTTTCAGATAAACCAGTTAACTGTGTTAATGCAACTTTAGCAGATTTTTCAATTGTATCTTCATGAATAACTTTTGAAACTTTATATAAATTTTGTTCAAATAATTCAAATGCTTTATCATCAATTGATGACATAGCTGATGAACATGTCAGTGACGTTAAAAGGCGAACATCAAATTTTTCTGCAAGACGAATTTGTTTTAATTGTTCTTGTACTAGTGAATCAAGATGTTTACCAATAAGATTATCATCAAGGTGTTTTACAAGAGCTTTATGAATTATTCGAGCATTATGATCTTGATGACGAAAGACAATACCTATTTTTCACAAAAAAACAAAAAAAGTTGATTTTCAATAATAAAATATTAAACAGATTAGCAGAAAATTTAGGACAGAAAAAATTTACTTATATTCACCTCTGTGCCATATCAATAAAAATAAAATTTACTTGTTAAGAACTACATATCTACTTAGCAAGCAGGTCCCTCAAAATTGATTTATCACTTAGAATGGATTGTTTGGGCTGAAGCCTTCAGAAATGAATGGTCCTAGTGAAAAACGTTTGTGATAAAAATTTCAGCCTGATATACCCTATTAAACCGAACTTCCGACTTGTTTTTATAGCTTGCAGGAAAATCGAAATAACTCCGTCGTTAGAAGGAGTACAGAGCTCGAGCTGGTTTCAAATTGAAACTAGTCTCTGTGTACAAATTTTCATTGAACAGAACTTTGAAACTTCCTTTCATTTATTTTAAAGCAAAAAAAAAACCATCGGTTATACCCTGAATCACGTGGAAGTTATTTAAATTTTCCTATCTGAAAACTGTGTTTTGAGAAAAACGTTAAAGAATGGATTTTTTCATTCAAATCTAGACAAAATCATATTGCAATTGCATATTCTTAATACATTTCAGTAGATTGTTTTAAAGCCCGTAATAGATGAAGATAGCTAACGCCATCTGTCATGCGGGCTAATATAGAAATGTTCTATTCAATACTAATGCACGTGACAGCGTAATTTTTCTAAAATAGAAAAAACTTTAAAAAACCACTAAAATATCTTTGCAAACATAGTAGTAGAGTCAAAGTTTCCTGTGATAAATCTGCGAAACTTTGGTCGTTTTGCAAAAAACTATGTATATTCTAAAAGAGAAAGCTTTGATTCATCTTCCTATGACCAAAACTAGACTTTGATATATTTTCAAAAAATTGGGTTTTCTGAGGGAAACCCCTGAAGTATTTCTAATATACGTCTTTGTATTAGGTTTTATACTAATCTATAGCCGCACTATGAATTTGACATGTAGAACATAGATATTTCAGTTTTGCTTAATAAGACGTTTCTTATGTTCCACAAAACAGCAGTTTTGAGATTCCAAAATGACTAAGATGTGAGCAGTTAGTTTCTAGAAAATTTCGGTAATTACAGATTCATATGAAAGGAATCGTATGGGACATTTCAAAAATACCCAGGAAATTTCTGCGATTTCTTTAGCATTCATATGGATAAATATAATTATTAGTTCATAAAATAATATAGAAACTCAATCACAAAAAAAAAAAAACAACTTACAAGAATTTTCGGTTATTTCTCTGTAATTCTTAGGATTTATTTTTTGATGCTTCAGTAATTTCTGAAATTTCCTAAAAAATTCTTTCTCATGTGTTGATAATTTCGAAAATTGGAACATATCGCGTAACTCAATGTAACTGTTCTTGCTAATCACAAGAAGGTTATTTTATTCTATCTATTTTGGGACACATTTCTTCACTATCTTCAAGAAATGTAATAAAAAAAGATAGTTCAACACTCCTTTTAGGTCATATTTCATCAAGACAACAAATGAATACTAAAATACTTCAAAAAAAAAGATAATGTGTTTTTTTTCTTACCTGTACGAATATGCTTTCCTTCTTTATAACGTAATTGATTTTCTAAATATTCATCAACTTTATGATTAACTAAGTCAGCACATCCAATAAAAATTTCATTAATAAGTGTTGAGTCATTGAGTAAAACTAATCGACCAGCATGTGTTATAATTGTACATGGATCAGGATAATCAATTGCTAAAGCAAGTAAATTTTCACGTTTTTTTCTATGAAATGATATAGCATCTTTTATATTTCGCCAATTACGTGGTCCTTTTGGATAACGATATCGATTACGATCTTTAAAAAAACAAAACATAAAAGGTCTTTGTTTTGTCTGAAAAAAATTAAATTTTTTAATTCATACTATATTGCCATTTGAGAAGAATAACAATAATAACCATAGCAACATGAATACCAAATGATGTAAAATAATTCATCCATGTATTTTCTTCTGCACCTGCTGAAGGATCTGTATCAGCAATAGTTGTTTCAAATGCATTTCCAACTATATTAGCAACTTTAACACCAACATCTGCAGCCAATTCGACTTTATCAATAATATTTTCAGTAATATTATCCATCGCCATAATTTATCTAAGATAAGAAAAAACAAAGCTGATGATTTTGAGTTCAAGTTTTTTATATGCAGTTAATCGAGTAGAAACAAAAATCTATTTTTGTTTTCTCTTGTCTTTCTTTCTCTTATTTTTTCTACGTATACTGTCAAAAGTTGACATTGTTTCATGGCTCTTTGATGAAATGGCAGGGGTCCAAAATATGCATATAATATGAAAATAATGAAATTTGGGCTCCTAATCGCAAAATATTAGACAAAATCGATTTGTGCAAGTAATTTTTTTTTCATTTTCTAATAAAGAATATGTTTTTATAATGTTTAGTGCAAATTCCTTACAGATCTGAAGGATCAAATGAATGATGACATGCCTGAACACTGAATTTTGAATCCTAAGGATCATCTCGGAATGTTAACTTTTTAACTAGGAATACATTTATGGGCTTTCTAAAGCTGATATTTGTAGTCAAGACATTCGACTCCATCATTGAGTATATGTTTTATTTGAATTAAAAGAAAAAAATCTTTTCGATATCTCTAAGGGGCATTACAGGTCCTAAAAAATTTTTTTCGAGGAATCCCAATTTTGACCTCTAAAATACGATCAGGATCTATCCCTAATTGCATTCCAATGAAAAGATCTCGATTTTATTGTGGACGAAACAATGGTCTCATCCGCCCTCATCCTTCAGATGTAGTAAGAGAGAAATACCGAAAGATTCGTTGGATAACAACTATGTATAAGAAAAAAACTTTAAAAAAAAAGAAAATAAATTTCTGTTAGATCGACAAAATTCTATCTCTATTAATTTATTTTTTAGCGATATATATGCAGAAGATTTGGTGTAAACTATTTATTAATAACAAGATTTAAAGACTTACCAGATCATCGCTATACTGATTAAATTTACTTTTTTCTAATAAAAAATATTTTATAATTCCTTTGCATGTTTAATCAACAACTATTATCAGTCTTCTACGTAAAAGCAAATATATGTGTGTGTGTATTAAAAAAAGCACGTGGCACTGGTCGTTATTGACCTCGCATGAAAGTTTCATTGAGGATGATCGACATGAAAAGATAAAGATAGAAACAATGTACCGATTACATAAATAATTAATTTAAAATGAAATTGTACTAGTCTTTATTGAAAATTGAATTGAAGGGAGTGAAAGAAACTAGGGTGTGGGTGTGGCTGTGGGGTGTTGGGTGTGGGTGTAGTCTAAGTAAAGAACATCTACGGCCATACCCATACCCACACCCTCAGAGAGTTTTGTCAATGTCAACATGTATGTGTCGATATGAGTTCTGAATATTAGTGAAAGCATTCTCTTTACAAACACTCTCGTCTCTACACTCACCTCCACATCCGAAAATTGAAGTATATTTTCAATAACAGATACTTATACAAAAATAGGGTGGGTTTGTGTGAAAACTAAGTAGAAAATTGAAAACACGGAAAAGTCTTGAAAAACCAATACAGATTACGAATACAAAAGAAACAGGAGATAGAAAAAAAGAACTTATTGCATTGGAGCATCCTCGAAGAAAAAATGGATGTATTCAAGTATTATATCAAAACGAAAACTATGGATGAATCACACATATATCGTGGTGATACTTCAATTTTGACAGAAGAATACCGAAAGAGAAAATGTATACGCTATGCCATCAAAAAATTCATACTATTTTAGATAGTCATACTTAGTCTTTATTTGAAATTACTTGGTAGTAATAATTTTAACTTAGCAATTTTGTTTTATAACTATGATTTCAATTTATTAACTTAGCAAAAACATATCTTACTTAAATATTGATTATCTAACTTAGCAAATATCGTCTTACTGAGAAACTATAAATTAGTTGTGCGTGCAATATTTTTACTTAACAGTCAATTTATATACTGAGCAAATACAAATTTTACTTGGCAAAAATCAACTTAGCATCTTAATAAATTTACTTAGCAAATAAATTGTTGCCTTTTCGAATCGTTTTGTTTAAATACTTTTGTAAATCATTATCATCGAATAATGATTTGAAAATATGTGGTGCAATTCTGATTGATGATAAATTTGATGCTTCCTTTAAGATTTCGAGTAACACAAATGACATTTCCATATGATAACTATTTGAAATATCTAAATATTTTATATAAGATAAATTAACAATCATTTTTAAAGAGTCGATATATTCTCTCCATGAATAATCATCAGTATTGTTGCACTTGTGTGTTAAAGGGCATAATGTTAATGATATCACTTTTGAGAAACGATTTGAAATAAATTTTGTTATTCGTTGATTATCTATGAATAAATTTGTTACATTGTCGAATATATTGAACTGATTTATCCGTTTATTCGAATATTTCATCAAATCACTTGTTAATCTATATGTATTGTTTAAATAAGGTATTGTATAAATCTCAGCTGAATAATCACCTAAGATATATTCTACAAATCAATGATGTTCTTCTTGCCAAAAGGCAGAATGAAATTGTTTGAACTTATCAA